CTTTTTCGACGACAAGTGTACAATTTCAAGCGTCTCGAAAATTTTCTGAATGTAAATATCTCATTTAGTAATGATGATGCTTATGTTTTGAGTTCTTTTTATCAGATTTTATGAAAACTTTAACAAACAACGAAAAGCACATCACAAATATCAGAATTCATTCATTAAAATTTGAACATAGATAAACAAACAATACACAGCGCCAAAATAAATAATGATTTATTTGGCGGTGTGTATATTGTAATAAATCTTCAATCGGATCTTTCAACTGGAATTGAGAAATTAAATGAGATAAAAAAACCGTTGATTTCAATGATACTTTGTGCTGAAACACAATGCTTTTTTGCTGGCAATTGCATTTTTTTTAATGCAGTCCGAGAATGAATCAACAAAAAACAACACACGAGACAAAGAAATAAATGAATAAACAATGCGTTTTTTTGATACTTAATGTTTTCTTCTCGAATGCCAATGGCCTTTGTCACTGAGTCGTGATCTGTCGTCGTAACGATGCCATTTCATTCGAAATGATTGATTTTATGGGAAAAGTCATTCAAATTGCTTGTTTGTTTTGTTTTTTTTTTTTTCTCATTATTGTACAGTTTTTCAAGCATTCAAGGGTCATATTTGCATTGAGCTTTTTATTCCTGTTTACATACAGTTTTCTTATTCTTCGTCAGACCGAGAAAATTGCATAATGCCTTTTGATCAATTCGATATATTCTTGAATCGAACTCTAATAGTTCCAGAGTGAATCGAAAAAAGCAACCATTCCGAGCTGAGAGAAATGCCTCACTGAAAGTCTCGGTACATTTTTCTGCCTGGAATGTGTGCTTTTACATTACGATAAGTGTTTTGTTTGCAGTTGCTCAGATTTTTTACCATTTAGCAAGAAAAAAAAAAATACAAATCTAATTTGATTTTATGGCTTGTAATTGCAATTTGTTTCAAAATTTTTTAATTTGGTTTATTTTCTCCTTTTTTCTTTTGATTTTTTTTTTCATGGCATGTTTTGTGCACTTTGTCGTATCCTTACCGCTTGTTATGCTACCGAATTTGCAACCAAACAAAAACAAACAAACAAAACCCCATTTTATTACTGCGCCACATCACAAATTGCAACAAACAACACATCTAATAAATCACCATATACACCATTAACAAACAACAATAATACCCCCGTGTAAAATGATACTACACACAACTTCGATCTGATCCAAACACATACATACAATTGCTGCGACAAAAATGTGTGACTGACTATGTACGAAAAAATACGCATGCTTTTTCAAACGAATACTATGAAATGATGACAAACAAAAAACCTACAAACACACACATACACGCCAAAACCTACAACAACCAAACCACACAATGAAACAAAACAAAAACATTCTAGGTCACGACGGAATAGTACACAAGATATTGAAGTTTTATCTCGTAGCTCTGACAACCTTGCACCACGTCCGTTCAGGTAATATCATTTTTATTTGATTCTTTTTTTGTCGTTGTTGTTGCTTTCTGCACTTTTTCATCTGTCTCGTATACGTATATGTTTTCTGTAGTTATTTTTCAGTGTTGAGCTTAAACCCGCACTTTTTTTGTATTTATTTCTTTCTTTTCTTCCTTCCTAATTAAATTTTTCTTTCTATCGTTGCATCGAAACACTGTAGTCTTTTTGTACTGTAGAAAATGTGTATTTTTCCGTCTTCCAAGAGTTGTAGCTTCAACGAATACAGGAAAAGATCCAATCTGTTCCATCTGCCGTTATTGTGTTCAATTCTCAACAGAGAGCGAATGTCTGGCATGGATTGAGTTTGCTTTATTTCGGCTGCATGCAGATGCTTTTATTCTCTTCAATTTATTTTCTGTCATAATGCACTTTTTGAAATGTGCCATATCGGGTCTCTCATGTGAATAATCCCAATCGTACCACAAAACTTCGGCTTACCACAATCGCAAAAAGTGCGCCCCAAAATTGCACTTGAGGAAAATCGTACGAAAACATCGAAGAAAATGAACAGAGAGATAAAGAGAGAGAGGGCATGGGTCCAACCGTATTTTTGTTGGTTCAAAGTTTGCCTTTATTGTAGCTTGTTCGTATTTGAATGAAGTCGTTGTCGTTGTCGTTATGTCTAGACGTCAGTTCATAGCCATATGGCCAACAATAAAATGAAAGTATCTTCATGTACACAATTTTATTAACCGCCTGTCTTTTTTCTTTTCTTTCTATCTCACTCTGTTCTTTTGTCTTCATTCTGAATTTTCTTTGGAATTTCGCTTGAATTTATTCTCTGCGTCACAGCAGAACTATTCCGAATGCATTATTGTTCACTTTATTGGTATATCCATGCTAAAAGACTAGACACATAAGTAAACCGTGATTGTGTTTGCTCTTTTGGATTCTTTAAGGTCAATGTCTATTATATGAATTCTACACAATGATATTAACGACAAATAAACACCGTACACAACACGTATTATTGACCCAACAATTGGCAAGCGATGATTTTGCAGTTCTGGACACATTAGATTCGTTTTAGCATCACTTTTTGTTTTTGCTTTTAACTTGACATTCAAATCTTAGTTAATCTGCGTCATTTTGACGACAGAAAGCGTATGAGTTCCGTAAACAGTTAGCCAGCAATATATTTGTAATAGATGATGTCTACGTGACCAAAACGGTGTGTTCCAATACCATTGACCTTCTTAAATGCAATCGATTTTTCCCACTATTATTCATTTTCAATTAATGAAATTCGAAACCGTTTAAATTTTTGAATATTACTGTACCGAAATTCATGGTTTTTTTTTCTTTCTCTCTCTCTGTCTCTTAAAGTAATTACCGACACGTTTTAATGTTATGTTTTTCCATGTGCTCCATTTGATTGATATGTTTTTTTTTAAATAATTTACATAGAAAATTGTATATGTTTAAATGGTGTCACTTCTGTTTTTCCTCGAACATCCGCCCATTGGCGAACTACGCACAAACATTTTGCTGACACTGAGTCATCTGATTTCAATTGAAATACAGTATAGAATACAAAAACGGCAATGTAAATATTTACTAAAAATTGCTAACCAAAATCTAAACGGAGCGAGAAAAAAAACTGTAATATTTGCTTTTGCTGCGTTTTCACAATTTAGCATGGTAAGACACCACCGCCTTTCTAAAAATATCCACACAATCGACCATTGGCATAACATAAAAAGTGTGTAATAAAAGCAGCGCAATAATTTTCTCCGTTAAAGACGACACCAAAATTCAGTACAGAAAAAAAAATGATTCAAATTGCTGTAAACTACGTCGTTTCCCTTGAAATTCGAAAACGTTTGCATTGTTATATTTTTTGATTATATAAATATATATTTCTGGCATTCATCAAAAATAATCGTTTTGAATGTTAGAATTGAAACATTTAGTTGGGCCGTCCGTCATAAAAACAGAATCATGCATAACAACACTTTGAAGTGGATTTCGACCGACGTTTTTATGAGCCATTCAGTGAGTCCTAATCTCCTTGAGAATGAATTATAGATTATACTGGAATGAGGTATAAAAGACACCGTAAAAAAATGAACCACTCATCAGGTATATCACTCTCAGCAAACACGGGGGGGCAAAATCAAAAGTAATCAGAGTAAAATATACTTGGAGATATTGGAGTTCCATGTCGTTGTATTGTTCTTAGTAAAAATGTTGATATGGAAACGTTTTCGCTTTTTTCGCATATTATCCTATATTTTGCCCGCTCCATAGACTTATTTGTTGTTCCCTATACCTTGACATCACCACCAATAGTAGCAAAATAAAAACAGCAGCACGAACAAAAATGAGAAGAATACTCAACAGCAAAAAACGAACAGCGTATAGATAATGCGACACATATATTTAAGGGTCAAATGGTTGTTTTCTTTCTTCAAACGGTGGTTTTTTTCGCTGGTAGAAAGGAATGACTGGTTCATTGTTTTTATCCTCCTTTGATCGTTCGTATTATTTATGATGTCCGTTCGTTGCAAAATGATATTGGTATGCTTTGTGTGTCGCAGTCAGCATGTTTGAACAAAACAGTTGAACGATAGAAGACATAAGAAATTGTAGAGGTTTTGCGAATTATGTACATAAATGTATATAGCATTTAATATTGCGAACTCGAAATCAAAACAAACGTCGAAGAATACGGAGAGTGTGTATTTACCGTGGAAAGAATTCCATTTTTTTCGGTTTTCGAAGGTACCATAAAAAGCAGCTGAAACACATTTGAAAACAGGTTCTCTCTCTTTGTGTTTTTTTTTTCGTCATTTTCTGGAATGCGTTATGTGTATTATTATGTAAAGAAGTCGGAGTATCGCGTTGTACTTTCCGTGTGTATGGGTGAGCTGAGAAGACCTTGAAATGGATATACGCGTGTGTTCTTATTTGATTTGGTGTGTGCACATATCAACATAAATCGGAATGCGAGTAAAAACTGCAAAAAAAGATACCAAATTCCATAAGCACAAACAGAACAATTGAGAACCGCAGGCATGTACAAACCGTCACAACAATATTAAAATGAAGAGAGAATGAAACCCCGCACAGTTACCGCGAAGAGAAAAAAAAAAACGAAAAACTCCGCTAATCAAAATAAACTGGATTAAATCATACATTGACATTCTACTTATCACCGCTACCACCAACAGTAATAATCATACGACTGTTAATGTCAAGCATTGCATGCTTTTTCTTAGATTACTCTAACCAAAGCATAAATTACGCATTATTAGCATTTCTAAGGAGAATACAGGTCAATGGAAAACAATTTTCATATTTAATATACTACTTTTAATATGAAACTTTCGATTTTAGGAGAACAACGGCGATTTCATTTATTATTGTGTCGTTTTTTTTTATTAATTTGGGGGTGGAAACAATAAAATTGATTTAATTTCACCTACTTTTATTCTTGAATGAGTTACAATAATAGTGTGTTGTTTCTTTTTCATGTTTTTTGCAGGAGTAAATCACGGAGCGTAGATCATGGATTGGCGGCACCGTTTGCCAATTTGGATTCATTGCGGTCAACAGTTGAAGGTCGTTTTGATAGCGTTGAACGTTTATCGAAAGGTACGTTTTTGTGTGTCTCAACATTTGTTCTACATATTTGAATTTCATTCACAAATTATCGATTTAAATGTGGAAAATGCACATGGCTAAACAAATTTCACTCCGATATACAAACATGAAGGAAATTTTTTGTAAATGTGTGTGTACTTTTTAACGTAATGACTTTTGAAATTGACAAAAGAGACTGATTTGAAATTCTCAACCAAGTCCTTAGTCCTTATTTCCTGTGCAAATTAAATGTAATCATTCTCTAATTTTCCAGTTATATAACTGCCGCTTTACTTAACGAATTTTAAACATTTTTTTTTGTCTTTTGAAAAACAATTTGTATGTAAAGTGAAAAATTATTTAAAACAAAACGGAAATGTTGATAAAACTTCCATTTCCAATAAAAAAAATGTTCACAAGCAAAGTCGAAGAAAATTCATAGGAAATTCTTCAAATCATGAAAAGCTCTTTACTATTGAATTAAATTACAGCAAATGTGTGTATATATGTGTGTGTGTGTCTGTGTGATAAATTTGCTTCTGGCGTTCTTTTAATTTACTTAAAAGTTGATGAGAGTAAAAAAACAAAGCAAGACAATTTTGTACTCATTATGAGCGACGCAAGTTATGCCAAAAGCTAAATAACTTAATCACGAAACATTGAATTTAATCATTCAATGTCGATGATGTAGTGTATCAAGTACGCCAGAAAAAGAATATTCCCCATCGTGTGAAATAGAAAAAACACGATCTGACGCATCCGCTGAAAATGTTTAATTAATATTGACACGAATAACGCCATCGCCAAAATCCAGCATCATTTCATTTCCCGTTAGTGTGACGTTTATTTATATACAAAAAAAAACCAGCAATCGAGCAAAATTGCTCCCATTTAAACTGCATCGAATCGTATACGTGATACCATTGACGTGTGTATCTCGATCGTTGTCGGTCTGGCGGAGCCGTGTCAATTGTTACACATTCAATGCAATAATAATTGAATACACGAAGAGATAACATTGCCTTTGTTTCATTAATTAAAATAATTCCGTGTATATATTTGCATGCACGTTGTTGAATAAAGTGATTAATCTTTTAATAAAACTTTAAATTTTTTTCTCACTCCGTCTGTATATATTGTATTGTTGAAATTATTCTTTCGTCGCGTTCCGCAAATTGTCTTCAAATACGGCATACACCGTGCCATGACATGCACTTCATACATAAAATGCATATATTTACGACACACGGATTAATTAAATGTATATTAAATTACTGCAAAATGTTGATTTATCCAATAAAATGTCGATTAAGTGTATGAGCAAATAACGATTCGAGCGAGCTTTGAGAGTGCTCTGTATGCATACTGAATCTCAACGACTGTACACACAGTAGAACAAAGCGTATGCATTCTGTTGGTTAATTGCAAATGAGAGTGGCGTTAGCAAAACCACTTTTAGCTTTATATGTCTCTCGCTCTCTTCCGCTCGCTCGACATCTATCTATTTTGGTGCTGCGTTGCAATATTGTCGTTAATCGATTTAGTTTAAAACCCTGCTTGTTATTTATACCGACTTATTTTTTTTTTTCATAAGCCATTGCATTTTTTTCCATCTCCGAAGCTAAGTACGTTATGCTTAATCGTATTATCTGTAAAGTCAATTTTCAACGTAAATGTTGGTTTTTTTCCAATATTTAACATGCAAATAAATGTGCAACGTGCGCGCTTTCGTTTGAAAATTGTCAATGAAAATGATAAAATGTGATTTCTTTTGCGTTTTTCTCTTTCACTCTCCCACTCGTTTCGTTTCTTGCTGTCATTTATAAGTTTATCCTGTTAACAAACTGAGTGTACCCATTGCGATTATACTGAACAACACGAACATACATCTAAGCGCATTTGTAAACCACAATATATATTTGCTGCCACACAAAAACACTTAATTTCCATTTTTCTGTGCGTGCGATATAGAAATTGAACACAAATAAATGTAAATTCTCATACTTCTCTCTATTAAACGTTTTCATGTAACGATTATTATTCAAATATTACGACAACCTAATGACAAATGTGCTATTTTATTGTTGCTGTTGTTGTTTTTATTCTGCAATACATTTTGGGATGATGAAATCGAAATCTCATTTAAATAAAACAAAAAGAAAGAAAAAGAGAAAAACATATCAAGTTCAATGTCACCTTATAAATCAGTTTTGGATCATTTAAAATGTGAATAAATTGGCGGTTTGTGGAATTTATTCAAATCAATTTTACAAAAAGCAAGCTTTTTTCTGTTCAAGTTTGGAATTTTATTGCGCTACAAATATTTTAAATTATTTTTCTCCTCTCTGTCTCGTTTTCAACTCAATAACAGAAAAACTAAAAGGATCTTTACCATCGATTCCAACAACAACATACACGGTGAGTAAATAATTTTCAAACAAAAATAAATAGTTTGAATCCATTTGCATGTGACATAATTCAATGAATAATTGAGTGTTGCTAATAAATTATTCATCGTTTAATGTTTTCACTTTCATTGATGATTATTCATATCGTATAGGTTGGAAATCGTGATACATTGACATCAGTTGCTGCCCGTTTCGATACTACGCCCGGTGAATTGACGAGCCTTAACAAATTGAACAGTTCATTCATTTATCCAGGTCAATCATTGCTTGTTCCTGATAAAACGGCATCCAGTGCCGAAAATATCAGCGATGTCAGCAGCGAGGCGACCGCTCAGAGTAGTCCTACTGAAAAAACACGCAAATTATCGACCGAAGAAGTTCAAAAAGAGGAAAAAGAACGAGGTAATCATCATTATACATTATTATTATCAATTCAATGAATATCCAACCAAAACATACACGATATCCAATTTTCAATTCATGTGACACATCATACATTTTCAACAGAAACTTTCCTTTCCCCCAGATATTAACGAATGTTGACTTGTGAATAATATAGAATTTTAAATGTTTGAATCTCTATGTTCAATACTACTCGAATCAATGAACGAAGCAAGACATTTGAAAATTCAAACAGTCCCATACATTTCAAATTCTGATTGGCTTCCCAATCGATTCGTTAAATTTCACGTTGAAAGAAAAAAATCATGTCACCGTCTCCACTCGTAATACAGCCGCGGCTAAAGTACAATGGAGTCGATGCCGCGACCGCGATACTTAATCAATATAATAAAAATGTCATGAATACGTATTAAATGTCAAACATTGCGAATCATTGTGTTTGTAGGAGCAAACACAAAAAAGGCATTTGTTGTTTTTGAAGTAAAAACATGAAGCGAATTTCATTTTTAGCAATAATCCAATAAATTCGTATTATCTTCAGTGTTTTTATTTTTTATCGATTCTATAGCAAAGTATTTTCTTAATCAAATGTCATTGATTGTCATGGAGTACTTATGATAACACTGAATGAAAGTAAATAAGCTCGATAAAATCAGTGAAGTTTAAGTTGTGCGAATTTTTTTAAAAATAATTCGAGAGTGACTACGTAAGCAAATCAATCGGAAGAGCCGAGCTGGAATGTTTGGAACGAATTCAAACAAACAAATAAAAACAGAGATCTGAAACACGTTGATTTATAAAATGTGTATGAGTACAAAGTTAATTGTGCATTTTAGATTGAAATCGTTGAATGTACATGATTGTCATTACATTATTTGCTGCTAATATTGTATGTGCCTCGTTTCATATTTAAATTTAATTATTTTAAAAAACAACAAGAACAAAGAAACGAGTGCAAAGAGTGCAGATTTTTACTGTGTGTGTGTGTTTTTTTTTTTAATGTTGTGCAATCTGTCAACGAGACAACCTAAGATTAACTCTTGTTGCAATGCGAGATAAATTGCGCACTTGAAAGAGAAAAACAAATATAAATCATTACGCTTCTATTCTCGGCCAGCTATGGATTTAAATCGTGCAAATACGCAAATGTATACGGCGATTTTTTGTAAAAATTCGGGTAATATACATTTTTATGGCTTGTTCCCTCTCTCTCTCTCTCTACTTTTATACACTTGTTATTATTAAAATACTATTTGAATGATTTTTTTTGTACTGGAAGTTTCCTCTGATTGTTTTGTATGACGACACGGCGCTGAATTCAATTTACATATTATAATCGGTTCAATTTAGAAGCAATTTAATAGATCGAGAAACAAAAGAGTTTGTAAATACTAAGTGATGCGAATGTATTTGAGCAATGAGTGTATATGAACAACGATGATAGTGTCTGGATAGTTTGTATTTACGTGTGATTGTAATGTGTACACTTTGAGTGAATTGGCTACCAAAGAATTTACATATTTTCTCTGTTTTTTTCTGCTTCTGTCAAACATACGCAAGTAATTGTAATTCACATAATGTTTGTGTTTGACACATTTGCGATGGTTGTTGTGTAGCATGAGACGCGGTCGGCGCAAGGCGGGGTCATTCCATATCAATTTGTATTTTTTTAAATGGTTCGTCATGTGTATGTTATTATACTATAGAAATGCTATCAAATTATACGCCGAACGGGTTTAGTATTCGTGCGAAGTGATATGGTTAATTCAGTTGCTGTCAAATTCTCGGTATTCCAGTTCATTTTTTCAACGCGTCATTCTCTTTATTCCTTTCGTTCTGTTTTTTTTTTTTTTTTAACTTTTATTCTTATTTCGTGCTTTATAGAATCATTGTGCCATTTACAGAGGAAAGATTTTAGTATCCTTCTTTTAATTCGGCAAACGAATCCGAGAAAAAATACCCCGTAAATTCGATGAATTAAAAACTTGTTAATTTCGATGAAAGAAATATATTCCACATTTGAAAGAGTATTTAATTCGGGGAAAGTGATTTCTACTTTATTTCAAGTTCATGAATTCAAGTGGCCGATATGAATTTATGGACTGAACAACTTTATGAACAGTACTTTTCTGTGTTGTGGTCGATTTGAGAACGTTTCAAGGATTTATTACCGCTGAATTATTGATTAAGATTTTTTTTTTCGATTGACATGCAAATGGTGTATACACTTCAAACTTGGGATTCGATTCGTGTTATGTTGACAAAACGTGCGATGTAAATGCATTAACTAGACTATAAATTTTACATGGGATATATTGATTACAATTATGACAAAGAGTGCAATTACAATAGCTCATGTTACTCGATCTATTTAGAAGATTAGTCGAATTTGATTCTTGTGTGCATATCAGATGAAAATTGAAAGGAAAAATCCTGTGTGTTTATGTCGCGATTAAATTACAATTTCAACACTTCTGTAAACTACTTCGATTCAATGACCGCGCACTATAGTTTTAAATACGAAATAAACAGTGCGTAACAAATTTTCTGAACTAAAGTCGCTGAGTTGATAATTTTCGAACGCACGCGAGAGTGACACAATACGGTTTTACACGTTGCGAGTGGTAATTTTTCATCACAAAACAAAAAGTACTTATCATTTATGTCACGCACGTGCGTGATCTTTTGGATGTTAGATTGAAGACGATTTTGTCTAAATTTATCAAAAAAATCCCAACAAAGTGGATGTGTATTTGAAATGTATTACTTCTGAACGGTGATAAGATTGTGTTCGTTTTTTGTTCGTTGTGCAATTACAAGTAGCTCAATCGTTTACTGATAAGAAAATCGGTCTCGGGCAAAGCATATGAGCACATGATATTGAATAAATTTATTAATAAAAACGCAGTTTTACTTGAAACAACGAAAATAAGAATAAAAATTACATTCATTCAGACGTTTTCACCGCTTAGATCGTAAAAGTCGTTAATTTCATACTTACATCATTTTATCGAAGGCTGAAAAATTGTGTAAACACATCTGGTGCGAAAACAAATCGATTGATTCTTACACACTTCAATCACCCTCCTAAAGTTGAAATATTACGCTCCTTTTCTCTCTTTTTTCCTCTAATGAAATAACATTTTGACGCAAAACAATGCTGAATTTTTTATCAGGTGAATTTCAACAACGTAGTTAAATAAAAGTCGACTTAATAAAGCGTTATTGTCACATAAATGTATACCAAATTCAATAGAAACTGTGTATGTCTCTGTGTCCGTGTATAACAACGTTGAAAAGCAAAAAAAAGTGTATTATTTTGACACGTTATTACCACCTACTTTTATTCGCTGTATGTGTTTGTATTTTGTTCTATTTTGCTATCATTTATTGGATGTGTTTGCTTCTGCTCTTACGCAGACCTCTGAGTAATAATCATCACCACCACAAATCAATTAACAAAACGAGTAAAAAAAATAACCAACATTTCATTTCGCTCTTTGAATGCTAGATTACGCTAAATAACATTTATTTTTTTGCCGTGTGTCAAAGAAAATACGATTATTGTTGATAATAACGGCGATTTGGTTAGCAAATTCACATTCATATGTATGCAACTCAACCGCAAAAATTGAATTGAATATGTGTGACTTTTGGTTAAATTTATTGAATTACTTGTATTAGATTTTCAAGCTTTTTTCCACAGCTAATAATTTTACTAATACCGCTTTTTTGTGACTCATATGATCACTTGTTTTAATACTGATGATTAATTTGTTTGTGTTTTTATCTGTAGAACTTTTGGATGGACTTCGTCCTGGCTCACCAAAACCCGGCCACATTAAGCGCATCGAATCGCCAGCCATAAAAAATCAAAATGAAGATGATCCCGTTGTTACGCAACGTTTTCTCAAAATCAATGTCCGTCACATAACCGATGGCCAAGGTGTTGTTGGTGGTGTATTGCTTGTCACCCCAAATGCTGTTATGTTCGATCCAAATGTGTCTGATCCATTGGTCATTGAACATGGTCCCGAAAGTTATGGTGTTATCGCTCCAATGGAATTGGTTGTAAATGCTGCCATTTTTCATGATATCGCTCATATGCGTGTTGCGGGTGGTGAATCAAAGTATGGAAAATTTATCTGTTCCACTCTTGCATGACAACATTTAATAATTATTCTTGTTTTCTTTTTAGCTCATCCGAGAAGGTTGAAATTTACTACCCAAAACCGCCGTGCACAAGCAGCGATGCATCTCATTCACCCGGCAAAGATTCCTTATTAGTAAAAGTAAGCAACGAATGTTAATGAATTCAACAAACGATTGATTATTGATTTGCTAATTAATTTGAATTGTAGGATGAAACGTTTCCAGAACTTGGAGTTGGATCCGTGGAAGGTTGTGATGATCAAGAAAGTGTATGTTCGAGCAATGAACGCGAGGGTGATGCATTTCCAAAAGCATTTGATCGTGAATTAGTAACGCCGACCAATTTGCTAAAAACCCAAACCGAATCAATTGACAGCAAAGCAAATGATAACGAAACCAAAGAATCGAATACACCAAACACAGATACAAAAGTCAATTCAAATGCAAAGACCAATGAAAACGAAAATAATTCGAATTCAGATTTAGGCAAAGAATTCAAAGAGTTGCGAACACTCGAAGAGCGCCGTCGCAGTTTACTTGATCATCATTGGGCAGTTCCAAGCAAAGAAAGGTACCTTTTTTTTTCAGATGAATTTGAAAAGAAAAAGAAAATGATTGTTGTTTTTGTCTTGTTCGAATTCAAAGTCGATCAGTGGAAGATGATAGCATTGCTGAAGCGGCCGAGGCATCATTTCCATCAATTCCACCAAATCTACCCGAAAATGCGGAGCTGATAAAAAAAGTTGCTGCTAGTATTGCATCGATCAGTATTGAACAAAGTGAACAGGATTCACAGTTGATGAAACAAAGCTGCCATGATTCTGGTATCGATATTCGCGATCCGAATCTTCCTGTAGTTTTGAATACGAAAAAGATTTACAGCGATGCTGATATTGTTCTTTCATCAGATTGGGTGCCACCGGTAACAATTGCGCCAACCGATTATATCGATACACCATCGTCACGATCATCGTTTGACACGAGATTTAACGCTGGCGGTACATCGTTGGCTGAACCACAAGTCGTCGGACGCAAGAAAACCTCGAGCGTTAGTTTCAGTGTTGACGATAACAGTGACAATCAACAATTGAATAGCACAAGCAGTGATAAGACCAGTGATAACAAAAAGAATAAGATGTTGAAGCGTCTCTCATATCCGCTGACTGGCCTGATTGAGGGGCTGACGGGTGACGATAAACCAAGAGGCAGCGACAGCGGTGAATCGGCGCCAAATACTGGCGACTCAAACCAAAGCGTTTTCTCGAAAGTATTCTCCAGGTAAGCACTCAAGCCATGCACCAATGGAATTCATTTCTATTTCATAGAATCAAATCATGTGATATATTCTAACTTAGATTCTAAGGATTTTCTAGCCTCCTAGCCAAAAAAAAAAGCTTTAAATCGATTATTTTCTTCAGCATTAAAAAAAAAACAACAAAAAAGCAATTCTAAATAATTTTTTCTGTTATTTTCATCCTAACTCTTAAAAAAACAAATTTGCAACTGATTCTGGACTTGAATGAAATTTCCATTCGCCGAAAAATACATTTCACACAAACACACACAATTTTATCCTTGTTTTTTTCGACTTATTTTGCATACTATGCATTTTTATTTGGCTCTTATTATTTTGCTCAACACTCAAAACCAACCACATCCCCCAAAAAACCCCAACACATTTTCTTTTCCGTTCACTTGCTCAAACACTCACACACTATCTCACCAAATATACACCATTGTATTTTATTTTATTTTGATTTCTCTTTAATTTTTGTTGGTCACAATTTGGTTTATTCTTCAAAAAATTACAATCTGATATTTTTAATTTATGAAATTGCAACAAACACACACAAAAAAAAATCTATGGCCTCGTTATTGGAACACACATTTTTATATAAAGCTCGCCGATAACACTTGTTTCTGAGCTCGGCGGCAATCTATTCTTATCGAAAACACCATCTGAAGAATCTGGCGGATCGCCAGTACCGCCCTTAACGCCAAACACTACTACTTCTCAAGATGGTGGTAGTGCAAACAATGCTTCAGCTCAAGCAGCGGCCGGGTAAGAAATGAACCAAAAAATGTACACACCAAATACTACAACAACTACTCTGACTTCACACACACACACCATATCTTATTCTTTGTGCAAAAAAATCAACTTGTTCAATGCTGTATCTCTCTTTTTCTCTTTGCATTTATTTTTCGGAATGTCCAAGTGCTTGTTATGTGTTTGTACAAGTGGTAAAAGTGTACTCCATGGAGAACACACACACATTCTCTCTTTATCTCATTCATCAGACCATTCCCACCATTGTATTTTGTTCAACTCATCAACATTTTCATCAGTTTTGCTATTCTCCTAACTCAGAATTTTTACAATAATATGTGTGTAGATGATTTTATTTCATTTTCATACTTTTCATTTTGATAGAAAATCACATCATTCCGCAAATTCAAACAATACTGTAGATATTCTAAACAATTTTTTTTATTTCATTGATTCGTGTAGAATTTATCGAAATTTTTTGTTATTGTTGCTGTTGTATATATGATTGAATTTGTTAGACAACAAAAAATGAAAGTGTGTCCTTAGGGAAACATGTATTTCTATTCGATTTGAAGCTACATTTGTCTCTATATTTGTATCATGGTTGTAATTTTGCATCCGAAATGTTTGTTTTAATTTAAGATGACGCAAACTAAATGTTGATTGTTTGATTTTCAATTTAGACGATCATCCATTGGAACATTCATTCGACCAAATTCATCGGACGGATCGCAAACAAAACCAGTCAAAGCACCACCACCCAAACTTGACTACCGATCAATGGTATCGATTGATGACATGCCCGAATTGTTTGTCAGTTTTGATAGTAAGTATTTGTCAATATCTCACTTGTTACGAGAAACTAATCATTTGACATGAGTAATTTTTCCTATTTTAAGAAGCCAGTCTTAGCATACTAGAGTATTAGGAATTTTGCATTTAGCAAATTAGCAGCGATTCACTCAAAGCATTCAATTTGATTAAAAGCGCAATTTGTGTGAACCCTTTTCTTCAATGGGCATCCAAATTTAATGTTTTGATGAAATCCACGTATCGCATTAGTTGTTAGTATTAATCTTAGAATTTGATCGAAGAAAAAACAGATAACTCATCATTTCTAGTTAAAACCACTAACCAACTGTTTCTACGTAATATTTAGTGAGAGCTCCGTTTTGTAGCCAACTCGAAAAGCTTGGTAGGTGACTGCGATCAACAATTTGATGTGCTTGCAAATTGTTTTGTTGTTGTTTTAATTTATCTGTTTTTTTCTCTCTATATGTGATGGGATTGCACTATCGTTTTTTACTCTTTGAACTGACTGCGTCATACCTTCTTATCACGAACAGTCATTGATAAATAAAGAATGTATATATTTATTTTAAAACGTGATTTCATTCAATAAATCATTTAGTATGTCTATTTTTCGCTATCTATCTCACGTCTCTCGTCGTTTCACACTTGCGTAAATTAATGCACTTTTATTTTTAAAATCAGTTCACCCATTCACTCTCGTAGCAATTGATTTGTATGACTAAAAATAACATACTAAATCCTTCTATTTATTTAGTTGACATGCAAACTCTATCTCCATCTCTTTTCTCTAGTCATTTATTTTCTGGGGTAATGTGATGGATTGTTGTGAAACAGGCATTAATCGAAATATGTTGTGTTTGATGGTTACGCTCTGTATTTGTCATCAATTCATTTCACTGATTCATTCTCCTTTTTTCTCGATTTTTATTTTAGAATTGATTCCACGGCCGGCACGTGCATGTGCAGATCCACCATTGTATTTACGATTACGAATGGGCAAACCAGTTGGTAAAACGATGCCATTGCCCAGTAATGTTGGTACGTTCTATTGTACAAAATATTTTATCACTGACTTTCTCGATCACAATTGAGAGATCGATTCACAAATAATAATTCATATTTGGTATTTATTTAGTTCAAGGAATGGTTCGTATATAGAAATCTTATAGAATAATATTTTTGCAGCTATAATATAGCACTATATCTATAGACTATAACTCCGCATGTTCGCTTATGCGGTAGCCGCTGCGCGCTGTGTGTACGGCCGTATGTATGATACACGCTTATGCTTGTATTGTAACACAGCGACGAAAACTGTAAAGCATGAGCGAACATGCGGAGTTATAGTCTATAGATAATGTGCTATACTATAGCTCCAAAAATATTATTCTATAAGATTTCTATATACGAACCATTCCTTGATTTAGTTTGATATTTTTTTTGTGATATTTGTGAATCGTTGTGAATTTTTATGGTAGTTTATAACTAATTCTGATGTTAATTTTCAATTGATCGATAGTGATGTCCTATGGAAAAAATAAATTGCGGCCCGAATTCTGGTTCAGCATACCAAAAAATCGTATCGACGAATTGTATCGATTCTTAAACACTTGGGTGCCACATTTGTATGGTGAATTAGACGAAGATGAAATCGGAAAACGTGGTTATGAGCTGATTCAACATGATACCGACTGGGTAAAAAGTGGACAAAACAAGGTTTGTAGCAGTTTTAACTCAATCTTATCAATCGAACTTTTTTTTACTGTCGCAAACTCAATCAACTTGATGATGTTGATACCAACAAAAAAAAAACTGAACGACGAGAGAAAAGAAAAACAAATCGTGGATAATTAAGAATGCATAATATTAAGTGGACAATATTTTTAAATGGTTTTGTTTATTTGCCATTTTATCGTCTTCTCTCTTTTGTCTCACAGGACGGCCAAGCGTTTATCGACGGCGAAGATATCTCAGAATTGACGCGTGAATCATGGGAGGTAAGTCAATTGTTTTAAACTTTCTTTTCCAATTTAACATTTGGTGATAAAAGTTTCAACAATTAGGGAGCTTTTTTTGTTCGAAAAAGAGAACATCTTTAGAAAACAATACCAATCGTGAAAATTATACAGACAGACACACTTATTAGATATTTATGACAAGTTAATAAATTTAATGATACAGTAGCACTTTGTTAGGGAATTTTGAAGGAAATAAGAACTAAATTACACACACACATGCACAAACACGAATTAAAAAAAAACACATTGTTAGGAGTTCAGAATTTTGACAGACAACATTTCAATTTATCACGATTTTTTTATTCTGCACCTACACATCCATAAATACACACACACACATACACAATTTAAAAGTAATTCAATAAATTAAAGAGGAAGCGTCCACGACCATTTCGCGAAATTAATAAAACAGCAGATAATTGTCACTCATTTCTCTGGCACGGGTTAGATAGAACAAAACAAACTCATTAAAAACGTTTGAAGAGCACATTTTATGAATGCATTGTTCAGAAAATAAAATAGCAACGCAAAAACATTCACGCATCAAACAAAAACCAAACAACATTACACACAATTTCTTTTGTTTTAGTCTTGAGTTAAACGGCAGGGGAGGATGCTAGATATAATACATTCAATAGTAATACGAAAATGACATTCCCACAAATATACACAAACATCACACTCAGTCACTCAGATGAAAATGATTAGACAACAAAAACAATCACTTGAATTTATCAATTTATCTGAATATTGTTGAAAAAATTGACAAAAAAACTGATTTTATTTTGTTTTTATTTCCGCATTTCATTTCTTTCGGCCATAAACAACACAACGACGAAATTGTGTGATTTTTTTTATTTTGGTGGTAATTTTGAAAATCGACATTTAAATGCAACACGCATGTATGTGTGTATGCATATGTGTATGTGAAACGTGTTGTTGGGCCGTCTATAGCTGCTTAAGGCGCCTTTCGTTAAGACCTACCAAAAAACATGCCATACGTACCAATTTATTAAAAGCCAAACAGGATCGAACGATTTGGAAGGTTGTGAGGTTAGGACAACAAAGACTCTCTTATTCTTTTGTTTCTGTTTTTTTTTGTTTGTTTGTGTTTTTTTGTATTCTCCACTTTATTAAAATCAAATCGCAATGATATGGGTTTGTGTGTAATTAGATGGAAACATTGTGTGAATTTGATATGCACCTGACAACAATAGACATTTTTATGTAGATAACAGAATCAAATGAGTATATCCTCAAATGTTTTGCACAAAGATCACCTCCGTTTTTTTAAAACCGATGATCAAATGATATGATCATCGCGCACACCCACACACACACTGTATGTCTGTATGAGTTCAAGTGCCCTGTTTCTCTTTAATTAGTGGTTACCTGTCTCTTGGTTTTGTGATTATATTTTTCCCTCGCAATTAACTCAGTCTGGCTTTGAGTTGCTTTTTTGTGTTTGAAATACTGTCAAAATCACATTTCATGTCATTTTATTTTCTGTCTTTCATGTCTCGCTATAGTCATATCACTTGAAATGGTTTTCAAAATCTTTAGTTTTTAATTGTAATTTTCATGTTACATATTAGATGTTGGGCTATATTACATTGTCATATGCAATCAACTTTTTTTGTTTTCATTCATCAAGTCCTTGCAGACGCTTACAGCATTCAAAATTTACAATGTGTAATTTCTTAAATGTTAAAGTCATCGGCAAAATCATTTTTGGTAGAGAGATATTTTTTAGAGACTCTTTTTTACATTTTTTTTTTTGAATAGATTGCATTTTCGATGAGACATTTCAATGGAAATTCTCCTAAATAATAACGAAATTCATTCATTCGGCAAATATGCTTTGCTCAATGTCAAAAGTATGTTATTCATGAATCGGCTACGAACTGAGCGAAATCAATCTGCGAATAATGTGAATTTCCTTTTTGTTTACATTTCACGAGTGTCAAACTCTCCGTGTTTATTGTTTTGGCTATTTTATTTACCAACAAAGAACGATCTCGCTCGTCAAACATAACCCACAATTAAATTGAAACGAAAAATAAAAATCATTGTTTTTCCTTTGGTCAACAAAAAAATACACACAACAGATGTATATGTACACAAATTGATGCGGTGTTATGTATATAAACTTCATTTCACCTTTGCTATCATTTTAGCATGTAATCCACATTCGGACAGTCGTAAGGTTGGGCTATTCACTTGTCACCATTTTTAACAACCATTGTCATTTTCGATACTCTCTTTCGACTCTTTTTTTTGCCACGCGTCCAATTCAATTTATAAATGATGAGATGTGAGAGGAGATGCGCAAGATAACATACACAATATTTATGAACAATTAATTGGCGCTTCGAAAATGTGCTTTGTTTACAAATCTTTTTCGAATTGGATCAAAAGTCTGGTTTTATGAACCGTGATGAAGTATCGACGTAACAACATAATTAATTTCAATATACATATCAATAATAATTTATAACCTCATACAATTGACATTTCAGTTGGCTCTATTTAAGCATATCATCTATCCATCGTTGATTTGTACGGTTTCATTTAACAAATAGCATGTGAAGCATACCAATTTCATGAATCAGAACTCCTCACAAAGTTACATCACAATAAAAGAGATGTGATGAAATTCATGAATAATCGCTTTATATAAATATCGCATAGCTCATTGCTAGTGTCGTCGACAATTGCGAAATTGATTTTTGTTTTGCACTCTCGTGACACGAACATTTATTGTATCATCTGTTTTTAGATTTAATTGTGAAATACATATATTCAATTGCGACGTGAAATTATTTCAATCTGCATTAAAATAACAAATTTGTTAACAGGTTTAAATACGAAATATTAAATGTAGTTCAGAAGAAAAATAAAATGTCTTACATCCGTAAGATGAACTTTTCCGCACTGTGATCCACGACATGAAAGAAAACTAAATCTGACATTAGTTTTAGATAAAAATAATTTTCGAAGCACTTTTCTTACAAAAACTACTAAAGATGGGAATTTTTGTATCGGAGCCATGCCTATATGATATCGTAATCATGTGAAAATTTGCAGAGGTTATTTTTTTCACAAAAAGTTAACATTCTGAAAGTTTGAAGAAATTTCAATGCATATTAAGGGTACTTCCCATACAAAATTTCGTTTTAGAGCGAAAAATCCAAAATATTGTTCGGGAGGTGCCCCTAATATTCGTTGAAATGTCTTCAAACTCTCGGAATAGTATTTATGTGTGATAAAAATAACCTGTGCAAAGTTTCAGCTCATTACGATATCATACAGGCATGGCTTCCATACAAAAATCCAAATTTTTTGAATTTTTTGTATGAAAAGTGTTTCGAAAGTTGATTGTATCGCAAAACTAACGTCATATTCGGTTTTCTCGTACCCAAAAACCCCTCAATACACATTTTTGAGTGTTTAAGAATACATTAAATATCACTTTTGGAAGAAAAATTGAATTTTTCCCATGGATGGACATGGGCATCACACCAGACATGACACTTTACCCTGTCAACCAAAGTCGCTCAAAATCTAATGGTTTCTATTCCTCGGCACCCCCAATCATCCTGTGAAGTCAGATTTTGAATTACTTTTCTTGTTTGAAAGTTATCGTGTTAACAAATTTTTGCGTACAGGGTACAGCGTACAGGGTACAGGGTACAGGGTACAGGGTACAGGGTACGCACATACATTCGGACATCGAAAAAACGCTAGATTCGTGTTCCCTGGCCCCAAAAACACCCAGAAAACACATTTTTTATGGGTGTTAATTTTTCGACCGATTCCAATACTTTACCTTACACACTAGGTGTGTGCGGAAAAGTAAAATCCATCAAAAGATGGAAATAATGACAGATTCATTCGTTCGCTGCCGACAGAATGCATTTGCTGTTTATTGCAAAAAAAAAAAAACAACAACATTAAGAATAAAGAAGCGTTCAACTTCTGTTACGCTTCATAAAAAATTGTCGGTTTATTATCTTGAATGTTATAAAATTGTTTTCGATTTATTATTCGCACCGTATCTAGAAAAACCAGTCGGTTGAAGCGCCGCATTCAGTCCGTGATGTTAATGTATATCGCTTTGAATAATTACACGAGCCCCCTTCGTCGTACAATTTAAATAATAAAAAAAGAATGCAGGCGTTTGTCACAGTTTCACTTCAATCAATTAGTTACAATATAAATATAACGACCGACTGGAATTCATTTTGATTTCGGCAGACACATAGAATCAAGTGTGATGATAATTATACCTCTGCATTGTGAGGGATTTACAGAGAAAGGGAGAGGAAGAGTGAATTCAATGCAACTGGCAACAATATTTGAGTCAAATAATTTTTTCCTTTCTTTCCCGCTTTCGCACAAAACCAATCAAAAACAAAATCAACTTTGTGCAATTAAATCCATGTTATCACAGTCATATATCTATATTATACAGCATTTTCAGTTTTTTTCCTCTCTAATCCTCTCGGTTTTTAAGTCAAATTATTATAATTTCATTTTTGATGCAATCAACCTCAAATGCAATTAGTTGCCAAATGAATCACTGACTTAACACGAGATGAACATTGAGAGTGAATAAGAAAAAAAATGCGCGTGTTTACGTTTTATTTTATATCGATTGATTCGGTGTATTTATCATTGATTTGAACTCAAATGCCATTGAACGTTTTGTTTATTTCGGTAAATGAATTCATTTGCATCGCAATCGCACGGATCATTTTCAAGCTTAATTTGTTGTTATTTTGCATCGATTTAGCTTACCATATAATTTGCAAATCGAATACAGTCGGCCGTCTAACTTCACGTTTTGTCATTTTCAAATATTGTCCGACATCGACACTTCTCCCTCTGGTCAATGCGCATATTTATGGTGAACACTTATTTGTTTACAAATCGGCAAATAAAAACATTAACAGTGCTTTAGAAAAAAAAATCCGACTTGTGAATGAAAAATCAATAAAATGGATATTACGCTGGAACCTATTGACTCGCTTCTCTTATTCTCTCATCTTCAAAGAAACTTTTTTTCATTTATGCACTACTTTTCGATAATTGCCACCCGACAAAAAGACAACGTCAACAATAAAAACAATAACAACAATAACAGTAGATATCTGTGAAAAGAATAGCAGATGAAAGACAATTGTCGATATATGAATACAATAGCAAATGCCGAATATTGACCATCCACAGTGCCCATGTTTTTATGGTTCTCTGTATCTCTGTGTGTGTCACTGTGCTATTGATTTGATTTTTCAAACAATATACAAAAGGAATGTACTTGCTTTGAATATACATTTGTTCGTCGTTTTTACACATAATATGGTGTGTGCGATTACGGTGCTCTGGGTCGGTCGGCTCTATCCGTAGCGTTATTTCAAACAGAGTGAAATAGAGAGAGAAAAGAGAGAAAGATAGAGTAAGGCGGCTCTCATTCGTATGCGCGCCGTTGTCGTTATCGTCAACAACATTTCTGAGTCTAGTCTCGAACGTGTAGTGATCGAGTTCGATTGTGTTTTGCAGATCGTAGATGTTGCTACAAAAGGAAGAAAAAGAAAAATTTCGCCTATTTTTGTGAATCGAAAATAAAACAAAATTATACCGTTTTTTTTGCGAAATTCATTTCATTTTAAATTTTCCGCCATAAAATTTAAGCGACGTATATTTTGGTTGCGAGAAACCAAAATAAATACAAAAATCTACTCTAGTTGTACTTCGTTTAAATTTGAACGAAGAAACGGTGTTTCGAGTAATTTCTATGAGAACGTTCGACGAGAATAAAACTGTCATTTAAATGTTTTGAATTGGGCTAAAGCAATCTAAAAATATTTCTCGAATGTGACACCAAAACGGCATTGTTGAGAAAATCGAAAAATATTCATCTAAAAAAAAAATACCGAGCCAAATTTTATATACCTGTTTTAAAACTTGCCACGATGTAAACGCCAAACATTTGTGAAAGTATATGTTGTGTTTGTGTTTTCGTTTTCTTTTGTTTAACAATTATATTAAAA